TGAATAGGTTATCCAGAGAGGTGGTGGAATCGCCACTCTTAGAGGTTTTTAAGACCCGGGTAGACAATGCATTGCCTGGGATAATATAGTTTGAGCAGGGGACTGAACAGGGGGATCCTGGGATCCCTTCCAACCCTAATTTTCTATGATTCTATGATTTTTTTTTTCCAATTTATGGGCAGCTATGTGTTCACTCAAGTAGTCCTATTCCACCTCAGAGAATGTGGTAATAATAAAGCCTGATGAACATGCTCAGAAGAGGAAGTGTGCAGCAAGCATAACTATGCAGGTGCAATAAGATCTAAAGTCTGTTTAAGTGCCAAAACAAATACTTAGAAATCTACATTTGCTAAGTAGCACTTAGGGATAAACGTAAAAATAGTATAACATTTTGATCATCCCTAATACCTGCCTAGTGTAACAGGAAGTCTTTGCTCTAAAAAAAATTATATATATTTCTCTAAACTTTTTATGGACCTGCAAAGTTTTTCAAGACTCATGTCACTTCCTCTTTTAAATAGTATGAGGAGTCTTTCTTTGCACTTTCAGGTCTAAACACCCTTTGTCAGGCTGACGAGAATTCAAAGAGTTTTGAATTCCCAAGAATAGCCCAAGGGTTTTGTTTATCTCCATTTCTTAGACCAACATAGCTACAACATATATCCCTGAAACATGGAAGATATTGTATTTAGCTGTTTGGAAATGTAAATGTCATTGCTTACCAAGAAAGAAGAAATTCTCACTTTCTGGCCTGACATCTGACACCTCCAGGGGAAGAAGCCTGCCTAATCTGCATATCACAATGCAACTCTCACACAAAACGACCCTGAGGAACCAAGGGGAAAAAACTTTCACCTTTTACCTCCCTTGTACAAAATGAAGTTTCTTTTGTATCTGAGAGAACTTTTAAAGTCTTTGAATTTTCCTCAGCATGATGAAGGGTGTTTAGACCTGAAATCTTGGGAAAAAAAAGATTTTTTTTTTCCTGGTAATATTTAGTTGGTCTAATAAAAGATATTGCCTCTAACCCAGGAGTTTTGTTTGTCTTCATTTCTTAGGCCAACATGGCTACAACATATATCCCTGAGTTCGTTCTCTCTCTGATAATCTTGCCTCTGAAAAAGTGATGGTCCAGGTATTGAAATTAAGGCATATTATAAATAATGTTGGGTATGAAATTACATTTAGTAAAAATGAACATTATAAAGCACTTAACTATACCTAGCAGTCAAATTATGACCTGTCAAAACATCCAGAGCCCTGTAATTTTAGTGGAGTCTTCAGGGTGTGTAAGAAACCCCTCCTTTTCAATTGCTTGGTTAAGTTGGTGAACTATTTCAATTAAAGATTACAACTGGAGGATTTACACTTAACTTTAGCTCATGATAGTATTTCCTCATCTTTCTTCCCCTGCTACCCTGCTGCTGCTTCTATCCCAAAGCATAAAAAAGGATCACAAACTAAGCATTTTAAATAAGTAAAATTATAATAACTCTAGAAGACGATAAGCACATTTGGACTGTATGGCAAAAGGAGATTTGAATGTTTAAAGGTAGAATAGAGTTTTTTGCTGAAATAGGTTTAAATCCACTAGTTGCAACTAAAGAAGAGCAAAAAATGTGTCTGAAACATTGAATTAAATTGAATCCATTGACATACAACAGTTTTGTCAGAAATATTCCAACCTGCAATAATCATCCTGCAGAAAAAAAAGAAATTCTAAAAGAAACATTTTGATTTTTTGATTCAGAACTGTTTCATTTAGAAATTTAATTCCATACTACTAAAAGCTGAGAAACATTTCAAAGAACAAATGGTTATTTTTGTTCCAATGTATTTTGTTCCAGCTGAAATTAAGTTTTAAAAGATTTTCTGTTTGCTAGAAAATTTGAAAGAGTTTCATTTAGTGACAACCTGACATTATTTTCTGTCAACGTTCATTTATTTGTTTATGTTAGCTGTTGCTCTGCCTGAGAGCATTACAAGTAGTTTGATAAAGCATATATTTATTAGAGGAAAAAAGCCCTCTATTAATGTGGAGACGAAGAAAGCCTGATTAGGTCATTCAGTATAAGACCGAGACCATCCAGATGTTTAAACAAATGAAAATGAAAGGTGTCAATGTTGTGTGTTAGACAATAGTTTGGAAAAAAATGCATTTTCACTGTGCCGATGGAGTGGATGTTACATTTTTTATATACAATTATTTTGGTTAAGAGATATTTTCTTGTCTGCTGTTTTACAGATGGAAATCAGGAGGTAGAACGGTTTAACTTCATTGGTAGGAAGAGAACAAAAGGAATAAAACCCAGAAGGATTTTACAGCATATGTTGAGTTGAAAGGCTAGATTAAGTTAAATATGTTTGTCTTCCATATTGTTCTCTGAAGAGAAGTGTGAATGCTTTGTGAGTGTAAAGTAGTTTTGTTTGTTGTTGATTTTTACAAGCAAGAATTCTCAATTCCCTCTTGAGTGATTCCATACTGGTAAAAAAAAAAAAAAAGTGCTTTGTGAAATTTCAGGATAACGAATAATTTTTGCCATGAAGCATGAAAAATGAGCTACAAATATTCCATATCTGCAAAACTGAAAGAAGGTGAAAATACAGCTATTAGTAAGAGTAATGTTTTCTCAGCAAAACAGGTTACCATTACCATAAGCACATGAAAACAATCTTCTGCTCATTAATTTATAGATTCAAACAGTTAAAGGCTAGAAAAGACCATTTGATTATCCAGCCTGACCTGCATATAACAGTCCAATAAATTTCACAGTTACTCCTGTATTGATTCTAATAACATTATTTGTCTACCTTCCAGCATAGTTTCCAGAAGTGCATTCTGTCTTGCTTTGAAGACTTCAATGTTTACTTCAACCCTTGCACCCCCCTCCACTAGTTAATCACCCCCCACAATTAAAATGTGTGCATTTTCTCTTATTTGAACTCCTCTCATTTCAGCTTCCAAACTTTTTTCCTATAATTTACTTTTTGCTGGTTAGCAAGCGAGTTCTACCTCTCCAGTTAAGTTGCCTGATGTATGAAGTTGTATTGTTGCAAGGTTATGCAATATGAAGCACACTTCCCTTCTGGGTTCATTATATAAATAGATATAAACCAGCAGTACCTAATATGTAGTATTTGGCATTAAATTTTCCTTAGTGACCAATAATGAATAAAAATAAAATATACAAAATTATCTTACTACTACAATAACAAGTGAATAAGCTTAAAGAAAATATAAAAAAAAAAAATCACAATATGATATTGCATCTTGTTGGTAAGTAAATTGCAAAGCAGCTTCACCATCCCTTAATACTCCTCATATTCTGACTTCATAAAAGAGAAAACAAACAAACAAACAAACAAACAAACAAACTAGCAGGTGATCCTGGACACCTCTACACTTTTTCAGACCTTAATATTTAGTTCTTAACATTTTTGCCTGAAACTGAAGCTTATGCAGAATTCACTGCCCTCTTACTGGGGCTCTTCAACCCTCTGAGAGCTGATCTCAGTTCAGATTGAATCTCTCTCTTCTGAAGCCTCTGGATATATCCAATACCCTTGTGTTATTTATTTATATACACATACATATAAATTGACAGTCTTAAAAACATTTTGACCCTGTTGTGATCTTCCTAAGTTCTCTGCAACAGAAAATTTGCTCTATCATTTGTGTAGTCAAAAAAACCAAAACAAAACACCCAAGTGAAAATGAAGTTAGCATTTTTCAAGGGGTACCTTAAGTATAATAAGGGCTGACAGAAATATAAAGATTGTGAGAACCACTAGGTTAGGGAAACAATTTTCCAGGATTATTTAAGACCTTGTTACACATTGCACTTAGATCTGCTCAAATGTTGATCAATGTTAGTGCTAGCTCAAGTTTGGAGTAATCACACCACAAGGTTAAAAACCTTCTGAGTGTCCCTGACCTGCACAGTAGGACTGTGCAAAGCTTCGGTTCCAGATTTGATTCGGAGGAGATTCAGCCCAATTCGGTGACTGAATCTCCGAACCTTAATTGAATCAGAGGACCCTTTAATCTCTCGGAATTGAATCAGAACCCTCCAAATTGATTCAGAAAGATTCAGAGATTTGAACATAGACACAGCTTTAAATGATTTTTCTACATACCTTGAGGTACCAGCGTGGCTCGTGATCACTGCGAGGCTGGGACAGATGGAGCGTCCCACACCAGTGTCCGGGGGCCCTCCACATGCTCGGCACTGAACCCAGAAGTGGACTGGAAGTACTTCTAGTCCACTTCCAGGTGTTCTTGGGAGCACACTGCCCCCCCCTTTCCCCTCCCCCCCAGCTCTGCAATCAGCCATGGGGGGACCCTGGGTGCCCCACCCCCAGCAGTCGCTGAGCCAGGGAGGCACAGGGAGTGGGGGCTGCATGCTCCCCAGTGGACCCAGAAGTGGATCGCAGCATTCACAAGCTGTGCTGGTACCTTGAGGTATATAGAAAAAACATTTAAAGCTGTGTCTATGTCCAAACTGCTGATTCTCTGTGTAGCAGGAGGGACGGCAGGGTCACCGTGCTAGCCCTTGCCGCCTCCTCTACTGTGCCAAGCTTCGGATTTGCACCCTCCTATTCTCACCCGCCATGACTTTGACGATATGGGTTTTTGTAGGGAGGCTACCTCTCCTCCACTTGGCCACAGTTCCCCTGCTCCAGGTGTCCAGCATGTCTAGGCCTTGCAGCCCTTCCCTCTGCAAGGCTGCCCTTCTCCTCACCAGGCCCTTCTCCTCACCAGTCTCTTCTTTGGAGCTGGGGTCTGTACCACCAAACTCCATGCCCTCACTGGGGCTGGGGTCCTCACTCTACCATGAGTCCCCTATGAGGCCTCCTCCATCCCCTTATAGCCTCACCCAAACCACCAGTGTAACAATAGCAAACACAAACAACAACATAAACACAAGCCCCTGGGCTACAATGCAAATGTAAGCCTCCAGCTATAACTAGGATCAGGCCTACTGGGTTTTCTCTCCTACCATGGTGACCAATGCTGCTCTGGCATTCAGGTTCTCTCTCTTCTGACCAGAAGCTTCCTCATCCTTAGCTGTTCATAGGGAACTCACCACCTGGCCTCCTGCCTGGGGTTTATATAGGCCAGGCCCTGCCCCTTCTTTCAGCCGGCTAGGCAGGTGTAACCCATTAGCCTCCTTTTGTTGCCTTGGTGACCGGCACCTGAAGAGCCTTCCTGGCTCTTGCAGTAGCAGGCACCTTAGTATCCTGCTACACTCTGAATCAGCTTCACATCTTCAAATTAGGATTTGGCCATATCAAATCAGGGACAGTGATCTGAATGAATGAATGAAATCACTGTCCCTGATTCAGGCTGAATCTGAATCCGAATTGAATAGGGCCCACTTCGCCCTTCCCTATTGCAGAGCAATGAGTTGCCACTAAAGGGCTGGTAAGCAGGGGCTGGACTAGGAGCTATATAGTTGTGAGTTGTCACTAGAGCTAGTGAGCCAGGATAGGATTTTATTTCTACTTTAGGTGAGCATGTGAGAGATGGTGGGGGGGAGGAAAGGAACAGAAATTAGGAGGCAGAGATTTGGGGGTAGGTAATGAAATGGGAGCTGGAAAGGAAATGGGGTTGGGAATGGGTGGTGAAATAAGGAAAGTCAGCCACTGAAGGATGAATGACAAGAAGTTAAAAAAAAAGGGGGCTTTAAAAAGAAATAAAGAGGAAGTAAATGGAAAGAGTTTTCTTGTTTCAATAAATTAGGATTAGGGTATAGGGGGTGCTAGTTGTGCTTCCTGGGATGGCTAGGAGATGGCAGCTGTGAGGGATTCAAACTCTTATCAGTTCTCCTTCTTTGGTGCACTGAACAGCTTCACTGCAGATGCAAAGCTAGCTTATGTAGGACAGTGACTAACTGTACTTTGGATAAAATGGACTGAAAAATTCATATTTTTTGTAGTATGAAAAAGAAAAATTACACTTAGAATGTATCCAGACTCCATATAATTGATAACTCTATTATGAGTCTAGGATATCTTCTGATGCTCAAAATAAGATTGAGATTGGTGGGATAAGAATATAATGATAATTCATATTGTTATACTATGTATAACAATATAGTATGGTATAACATAGAATTAAAAAGGAGAATACGTATGATCTTGGACATATTGAAGGAAAGTGGTAACATGCATGTACTTCAGACAATTTGTCTTGGATGTGGGAGGCCATATTTATATTTATTGCAGTGTGAATGTGAAGATTTTTAAAGTTATTCTTAAACACCTTACTAAACAACATCAATTAAATCCCCACAATATTCTTATACTGGGTGCATCTACAGAAGCTTTTTTCTGTGCACCTGACTAATTAACTTGTAAAATACAAGTACTACCCCGCTGAGTTGTTTTGTGTGCAGCAATGCACATGTAGATGCAGCCCTGGCTGGCTGTGGCACAGGGTGCTTCAGTGAGGCGTTAGCTGGCAGGCAACCCCCATGCTGAAGCACCCCCGTGCCTCAGCCAGCCCCTCTGCAGCACATGGGGCCCAATCAGAACTGCCCAGGCTGGCAGGGGATCTGGGTGGTCAGCCTGCTAATCCAGGGCTGCTTCATCTAGGCTCCATATGCTGCACATGAATAAACTCTGGAGCAATATGCTCTGGAATTTTTTGCTCCATGGTGCATTTTCAAAATGCACTCCCAGGAGCAACACATTCCAGAGAAATAATCTCTGTAGTTTATTTGTGTGCATCAATAGTGTGTGTATATGTGCTTACTGAATACTAAGAGATTATACAAGTATAATTATACTAGATTAAATGTACCCCTAAATTTATTCCAACATAACATTCTCATGTAGACAAGCAGTCAGAAAAAAGGACAACCCAGGCAGATGTTAAAAGGTATTTGCATCATGAAGCAAGGGAGGCAGATCTCAAAAGACTCTGGTCCGTATAATCCTTCCCTAACTTGCCAAAGCAAATGCAAAAATTATGCATCCTACCTCAGAATGTGATCCACTTGCATAAAGTAAGACACAGAACTCTCTTATTCTCTCAGTGGAAACCTAATGATTAGTCCTCTTTGGACTAATCCAACTGCAACCTGAATAAACATGCAGCTCTCCTCTTTGGATAACAGGCATCCTTTGCCAGTCCTAATGTACCTAGGAAAGTACATAGCTGTGACTACATCATTAAAGCATCCAACTAATCATAAGTGTGTTGTCTAAACAAACAATACAGAGGATGAGTAGAGCCTATGCAGCTTTCTTCCCTATAGCTTATGGTCTAGGATACTTGCTCAGGAAGTGTGAAACCCAGATACTAGGCCCTTCTCAAACAGTGGGCTCCCCAGAAAATGTCCCTAACCACAAAGCAGTGCATTAGGAGGTTAATTTTTGCCTTTGAGAAGCCATGAGGAAAAGAGCTATGGAGCCAGGAAAAGACCAAGACCCTGCAAAAGGAAAGATCTTTCAATGACCATGTCCAGAGCTCAAAGTGATTACAGAGCTGAGCAGGGAGAAAGCTCTCCAGCCTGTTCCCCACTCAGCTCTGCAATCATGGAGGTAAGCATGGAACAAGCTTCCAGCCCCCACTCCACCATTGCAGAGCAGGGTGTGAAACTGTCCCAGTCAGGGGCAGGTCCTAGCCCTGCACCTCAATCGGGCAATTGAGGCATGGGGCTTGGAAAGAGCAGCAGGGGTGGGACAGCTCTCAGCCCCTTGCCCAGATGTGCCAGTAGGGCAAATAGCAGAGAAACCCCAGCTGGGTGGGGATTCCCCTCCCAGCCGGGGACTTGCTGCTAGCTGCCTCACCAGCACATTGGGGCAGGGGGTGGGACCTGTCCCTCCCCTGAAGGTCTTTCCAAGTCCCATGCCCCTATAAAGGAGCCAGAGCTGGGAGCTCCCTGCTCCTGGGTCAGGGGGGCATTGTCTCCTGGCCTGGTGGTCTCTGCCTGCCCCTGGGCAAGCACCTAGGGAGAGCCTAGAGCTCCCCCTGGTGGTGGCAAGAGCCCATTGCAGGGCTCCAGGAAGTGAGAGCAGTGTGCTGCCATTTGTAGCAAATCTACTTCTGCTTCCCTACATGTGTAGATGCCTGCCTGGGAGTTTACTCATGAGTAGTTTATTTATGAGTAAACCACTCCCGAATCTAATCCGTGTGCAGACATGCCTAAATCACTTTAATTGCATGTGTAGATGAGCCCACAAGGACGTATCTCAAGGTAGATGCTGCTTGCCAGGCAAACATACTGTAAAGATAAACTCGCAACATCTAAATACTCCTCATAGATGCATCCCATGACATTTAGGGATACATTTAAAAAATGTGCCATATAAAATATTGAAAATTATAACAGAAGTGCAAAAATCTACATAACAGTCAATTGTAAAATGGCTCTAGACAAGCTAGGGAGAGAGAAACTGTAAAATATGCTTGGATCCAAGAGATGTGAACTTCATAATAATAAGAATATTTTAAATTGCCTGGAGTAGAAGAAATCACTTTTGAACTTGGAAAAACTAGTTGAACTGTTTTACATGCTTGTAGCGGATTTTGACAAGTAGAGGAAGATAACAAAAGTTCTAGACTTTATACATTCAACACCCCATTTATCAGGTAACAGCTTACCCAACTTCCTTCTGTTATCTGTTCAGCTCATGAACTGAAGTAAAGAGAGATGCAACAGATATTTGAAAATCTGGCAGGTGTTGAATGTTATTTAGATGACATTCTGGTCAGACCACAGTGACATACCTGGAAGGGTTTTGGACAGGTGCTGGGAGTTTGTAACTAAATAAGAACAAATGCAAAGTGTCTTTGACAAAGATAAAATATTTGGCATGTTATTTTACAAAAAAAACCCCAAGGTCTAAAACCTGCTAATTCAAATACACTGCAGTCATTGTAACAGCCACACAAATCTGCAAGGTGAATTAAAACGTTTTATGGGCATGGTTACCTATGTGATGAAATTTATTTCAATTTATTTCAATGACACCAATATAAATATAGATGCTATGCTGGGTCAAACCACAGATCCATTTTATCTCAGAATTCCAGTTCTCAAAATGTCACAGAGCAGATTCTAAGGGGAAGTATATTTATGAAGAACCTATCCAGACTTATCTGTCCTCTGCTCTCTTCCCTTATAGTTTCCATCCTTTAGAGGTAAAGCAAGTCCTAATTTGGAGGTTGCAGACCTACAATCATCTTTCATGAACTTATCTTTTTTTTTTAACAAGGTTAAATTGTCAGTCTCTACAACATCTTGTGTCAATGAGTTCCACAGGTTCATTACATGTTGTGGGAAAAGCAAGTTCCTGTATTAATTTTAAACCTCTTCTCTAATCATTTTCTTATATCTTCTTTTGTTCTATAATAGGAAGAAATGGTAAATAGCCAATCTTTATTTACTTTCCTGATATCATTCATTATTTTATATCGTCCATCATATCCCCTCCTTAGTTTTCTCTTCTCTAAGCCTAAAGCAATTGGTCTACTTAGTCTCCTCTTAAATGGAAGCCTCCATACAATTGCCTTTCTCTGTGCCTTTTCTAATTCTACTTTATCTTTTTGGGAGACGGAGACCCAAAGTACACACAATATTCAAGGTGTGACCATACCATGGATTATGTACAGTGGCATACTGACATTTTTTGTTTTATTTACATTTCCATTCTGTCATTATTCCTGAGATTCTATTTTTCACCCCTGATGATTTTTTGCACAGGGCAAGCCACAATAATTGCAAGATTGCTTTCTTGAGCAGTTTCAGCTAATATAGAGCCATCAACATGTATGTGCATCCCACATTCTTCTTTCATATCACTTTTCCCTTTTCAACATTGAATCATGTGCTGGATGCCAACACATCAGATGGCTAACAAATATTTGAAAGGATTGCTTACAAGAGAACTAAAGCTCTTATCAGCAATCCTCTTTTATGAGGTATTTTCTCATTAAAAATAGTTACTATGTCAGTGGATGACAGTTTCACCAACCTGTATGGTTGCAAAATGAGTTCATGTTGCTATGACCATGACACAACAGACCTATGCCCTAATACAAAAAGAAATAATGTGATAATGTTTTGCT